GATGGTGTCCATGAACAGTGTTCTGGCCACTAACTATTTCTTTTTTGTTGTTGGGATGGGGCCTGAGTTAGCTTTGTGTAAGTCAGTGCAAGCTTACCTGCTGTACTATTGCTTTGGCTCTAATTGAGAATATTTATTAAGTCTTCTTGGTAAATATCTTATTGATATGGATATGACTATTGAGTTTTGGGTACTCAAGATCAACCATTTGTCTCTTTGGAATTATAGGCTATCTTGACAGCCATATGGTTTTCTGAGTACATTGCCCTGTCGGTGAGATGCTTGGGTTCCTTTAACTCTGATTTATTCATTCATCAAATATTTATTGAATGCCTACAATGAGAAATAGTTATTTATTACTGTGTTATTAAATAAAAGTTATGACCTATCACCTAACTTCTCTTGGATGGAGGGCTTATTATTCAGAGTACATGTGTCTCTGTGAAAGCTGTGAAGATATACTTTCAGAGCTTGAAACACTCAGAATCATTCTCTGAATTGTCAAGAATTTTACTTTTATAAGGTGTACCTTTGAATGCCTGGCAAGTTTCCTGTGGCATATTTGATATGCCAAATACGTAATCACAATAGGTCTCATTCCCATGACCCTGAAAGAGCCTCCAATCCTTGGGAAAAGACGATTAAGAAGAGGCTGCTAAAATCTCAGGGCTAGGAGGTATAGAGACGTTACTGACGTCCGCTCGAGTAATTTGATGACCAATGAGATGATAGTCATAGTAATAGTGAAGGTATATCTTCTGAAGCTATCTTCTGTGTCTTCTGAAACTTTGGAGTTTCTTGGTACTAATTTATTTCTTTTTTTTATCATATTCATTTCACATTCATATCCCAGAAGCCCATCTTTTTAGCTAACTGTACTCACTGGGCAAAACTCTACAGAAGGACTTGGTTGGACTCGGACTATGGTTTTAGTCAGAAGAAGAGAATTAAGGACATTTGAGGACAATTGAGTAGAAAAATATATTGTCTGAAATTAACAATTTAACATAAGACCAACATTTCAAAACAAATGTTAAGTAACACATTTAACAATGCAGCACTGTCCTCCCATTGTTCATCATTTTGCTCGAGCGGGCCCAGTAACGTCTCCATTGTGAGACTTGTTGTTATTGTGTTTGGTATATCGAAAATATGTCATGGGCAGGCTTTGCTGTGCAGGCGAGATACTCTCAGTAGCTTGTCGGGGTCTCTGAGAGGGGCAGAGGAATCGAACTTGGGTTGGCCAGGTCGGACATGTGCAAGGCAAATGCCTACCCACTGTGCTATCGCTCCAGCCCATTTTTTTTGGTAATGAAGTAATGCAATTATTTTCGATAACGCGATAATGTGAAAATAATCGCATTACTTCATTACAGAAAAAATTCAATACTTAATTTTTTTTATTACCTTTTTGTAAAAAACTACACACGCTGAAGTTTGTGTGTTCACGGGCTCTCTGGACGGCTCTATCTCACGCCCGCATTCGGTGCCCTAGAGTCCCTGTGTGTGGCCTGGATGGGGAAGGCTGTTGGCCAAGGGCAGACGAAGGAAGAGACCAGGGCCAGGCCGGTTGGTCTTAGTAGCAGCTTATTACAAGGAAGTTTATCCCATAGAAGAAATTTATGTTATGGAGGGCCTAGGTTCTCTCAAGCACAAGTTCTCCTTGCTAGTCTCTTCGTGGTCCATCTTTTAGCCCTGCTCTCTTATTCTCCTGCTCCCTTCCAGTCTGGGCTGACACTCTACCCAGTCAGGTAGCCAAATCAACATAAGAAAGCCCTTCCTGGTATTCTAAAGCCCTTCCTGACTGCCCCAGACAAAATACCTCCTTAAGGTGTTTTTTCTTTTCCTTAGTCCAATAAACTGTCAATAGACTATCAACTATTAACTATTCCTGAGCCTATGCAGGAAGGACAGAAAAGTGTTATCCTACACCTTTTGTTATACTTTTAACAATCAATATAAAATCAGTAAAAGTTGAGCAGGAAATACAGGTCTTTAAATAATTATAAAATTTAAATATTATGGATTTAACATGTTAATCTCATTTGTGTAACTAACACGTTAACTTCATGTGTCTGAAAAGAATACTTTCAAAATATGCCCCCCCAAATGCAGTGATCATCTATTTGATTATGTCAGTGTCTCGTAAAGAAAAGGGAACAGGGTGAAATATTATGTGGCTAATTCCTGCAGAAAGTTAAACATTAGAACAGATAAACTTGATGTCCATTCAAACAGTGATTTAAGATTGTTCTTTATCCCAATTTAAATTTTGCTAGGAATGTGAAAACAAAAGACAAACAAGTATCTCAAACAACAGTATCTCAAACAGTATCTCAAACAGACAAATGCAGTATCTCAAAGGAGAAGAGAGGAAATGGTTTTCCCTGCTGTGATATTTCTAAGTATCCCCTCACCCAAGCTAGTGCTGAATAGGGTGATTTGGGGCAAGAGTCATTGTTTCGTTTCTCCATACTCTGAGAATTTTCATCCTTTCATTTTATTAATACACGAAGCAATCACATTTAATCTTACAAGAAATAAATATCAGATCTTAGTTTGTCAGTTCTACAGCATTTTTTTTTTGCCATAGAAGGTTTTGAGTAAATTTGAAAATGACAAAATATTCTGGAATGGCCTTTCGACATCAAAATCAGCCATGAGCTAGAGAAATAGCTTAAGAGCTATTTAAGGAGGACCAAGTTCAGTCTTTGGCATCTCCTGGTCCCTTAAGCACCACCAAAATGACTTCTGGACACTGAGCCTTGGAATAGTCCTGAATACCAAGGATGTGAATAAAAACAAAACAAAACAAAACAAAACAAACAAAACAACACAAAAGCCTAGCCAACACAAAGCAAGATAAGTGGAAGAGAAAGGATACCTAAGCCTAAATCCTTAAGCTGTAGCTAGATGTTGAAATTCTAGCTTTGGAACCCTTACCTGATTATTAAGTTTCATATGAGTTGTATTCTGTTGTTCCATTTAAGAGAAGGAATTGAAAGCTTAAAGGGGGTCAGTGATTAGTCCAAGCCCATATTCCTTGTGATGGCTGATAGAACTCTTTAATTTATGTCCAGTTGACCATAGTGCACAAGCATTTAACACTAAAACCAGTTTTCTTTTTGTAAGATGCCACTGGACGCTTTGACTTTGGATATGCTCATACCACACCTCCTCCTTCATCTCATTTCCCTCTTTCAGAATTTAATTATCTGCCTGCAGCAAAATGCCACACTTAAAGATTCTCATGAAAACTGAACCAAAGGGGAAGGACAGTTTTAATGCGTATTGACTTAAAAAATTTTTTTTCCTGTTCACTTTGACTTCCTTTTAGTCTATGGTTCAATCTCTTCTAGTGAAGTCTTTCAGACCCCCTTTTGGGATGGGTTGAGTCGAAACATTTGTAGAAATAAATTCCTGGTTTTAGCTTCTGACATTCACCTAATACTTGACAATACTCTGGCTTGGTTTTGTCATTTGGTAAAATGTAGTTTTCTGGAAACGCTTTATACAAATTAGGAACGAGATACCAGTTGCTTTGGGAAGTACTCATCTATGCATTCTGCATTCAAATAACAAACATGATCGGAGTGTCCTTGTGTGCAGGACCCTGAGTTATGTAGGATACCACCAAGAAGGAGAAAGCAGCTCTAACATAAGAATCTCACTATCCGTGGAATGAAATAAAAAAAAAAAAGCAAACCCAAGAATAGCCGAGATAAGTACCAGGAGGTTTGCTCCATGGCTTGGAGGCCAACCGCACATGCTAGGGGTAAAGGCAGCTCAGATAGAGAAGGGAGCACCAAATAAAGGGTGTTGGGAGGATCCTCCCAGGATGGGAGAAGCATGCTGTAAGTAGATTATAGACCGAACATGATTGTCACCCATTGCCTCTTTTGCAAACCACAACATCCAACAGGAGAGAGAGAACAAAAGGGAATGCCCTGCCACAGAGGCAGGGTGGGATGGGGGGAGGAGGGGTCGGGGGGGTGGGTGGGAGGGATACTGGGATCCATGGTGGTGGAAAATGGGCACTGGTGGAGGGATGGGTACTTGATCATTGTACAACGGAAACCCAAGCACAAAATTTGTAAGTCTACAACTGTACCTCATGGTTTTTCACTAATAAAAATTAAAAATAAAAGCAAACTAAACCACACTGATATTAGAGTTAAGACTGACTATTAGGCAGTGCTTGAGATCACAGGACACAAGCTCGGGACCTTCTTTGTTCGAGGGATGATCTTCATAGCTGACTCCCTTGGGCAGTTGGAGCCGGGGCTTCTGAGAGCTCAGGCACATTAGTTTCTAAGTGTCATATTGTTTCCCATTGGATAGCTAATAGCTATATAATGCGTTTTATGCTGCTGATCAACCTGTTATGTAGCAAAACTCTGGTCTTGGACTGTTTATATTTTTCTTTAAAATGGCATTATATAGTCTTGGACTATCCCTACTCATTGGGATGGCATTAATTAGTGGCCAGAGATGTGGATGTTACTACCTTTAGTACACCTGACCCTTGTGATACACAAATGAGACAACAGCACCTTCCCATTGCTGTTTTTTTAACCCTTCAAGGGCTGGAGCTATAGCACAGCAGTAGGGCGTTTGCCTTGCATGCAGCCAACATGGCCGACCCGAGTTCGATTCCTCCGCCCCTCTCGGAGAGCCCGGCAAGCTACCGAGAGTATCTCGCCCGCACGGCAGAGCCTGGCAAGCCACCCGTGACGTATTCGATATGCCAGAGACAGTAACAACAAAGTCTCCAATGGAGACGTTACTGGGCCCGCTCGAGCAAATCAATGAACAACGGGAGGGCCTTTATTATTTAACCCTTCAAGGTGCTGAAATCTTCATGACACATAAAGCAAGAAGGTCCAAGGGATAGGTATAGAGAACAGAATTCCAACTGCTGGAGAGAAGTTTATTGGATTCACAGTGATCAAATAATTTACACCCTGCGTGTTTGTGTGTCTTTGTCTTTGACCTTCTAGAATGAATGCTCTCAGTGTTTCCTATGATTTAACCATAACTGACAGCAGAAATAAGACCACCACTGTCAATTACGTGAACAATACATTGTCTAATCGCTACGGCTGGATGGCTCTGCTCTTGGATCAAGAGACTTACTTGCTGCGGTTTGAGATTCCTTGTATCAATGGATGTCTGCAGGTAACTTCAGGAATTAGTTAATGGTTGTGCTCTATGTTTTTCTATTCCAGGTGTAATATTTTTTTCTATTCCAAAGGTTCTTATAGTTACTCCTTTTAAATAGTAGTTTTCAGAAATGGCATCTTCGACAGCAGTATTTTGGCCAAAAAAAAAAAAAATTAACAGAAATTTAATATGATTTCTTTAACTTGGAATTTTGAGTCTCTCTTTAAAGATCGAATAGCTATGCTAAAGTTTTAACTTTATTAGTAGCGTTAAAGCACTTTCTAAGCAATCTGTAGAATTGCATTCTTATATTATGGAATAAGACCCCCCCCTTGGGGCCAGAGAAAAATACCTTAACTGAACATTTTTACGTTGCACACTGCCACCTTGTGGTCGTAGCTTAATTTGCAAATGAAGGTCCACTTGGATTGGGTGGGAAGCTTGAAACCGGTTAGAGAAGCAAAGGCTGGAATATCCACAGGAAAAGTGGGATGCTCTCTGTGAGAGAAAACCTATCCTACGGGTTCCATTAAACCTATTTTCCCAACCCAACACCTTTATTTCTGTCTCATCATACTCAGTCTGTCTTGCCTTCATAGGTAATATGCACGTCTTAGGGAGCTGAAAGTTGATTTCGGGAGGTTCTGGGGTAGGAGCAAGGAATTCAGAGCAAACTCTCTGCTTTCTTGCGGGAGTTCTCAAAAAGAATGTACATCTTTTTTTTTTAATCTTCCCTGGTAGACCTCGTGGTAAAATTCTAGGGAAGATTTGTAATATGAAAATGGTAGAATGGTGATTTTGGAGATGGACGACCTCAGTTTGTATCCTGGAATGAGCAACAGAATTTCTGCCTACTGCATTAAGGTCACTCTTCTCTAAAATGCAGCAGTTCAAAGAAAAGGGATGGCAGGGGCCAGGGGGACACTCAAAGGTTGATTGTCCTAATATGAACAGAACCTGGCCATGGAGCACATGTCCCAGCGGTGGAAGCCTTTCCTGTTAAAATTTGATACTGGAGCGATGGATCCACATGTAGGATGCTTGCCTTGTAGGTAGCAGACCTGGGTCCAATCCCTGGAACCGTGTATAGTCCTCCCAAGCACTTCCAGGAGTTATCTCTGAGAATAGAGTCAGGAGTTAAGTCTTAAGCACAGTCAGATATGGTTCAAATGGCAGAAAGCAAAATATGGGTAATTCTCATATCATTTTTTGTCTATTAAAATTCGGGGGGGGGGTGGAAAAAGAATTTTAGACCTGTCTTTGTCTTTTCTAGCTCTATGGCCAGTCAAATTACTTTCTTGGGTCTGCTTGATTGCTAAACAAGAAGCGGTTTGGCTTTTTTTTTTTCCATCCTAACATCCTATGAATCTGAATCTCTACTCATGAATTTATTCTACTTATAAATTTATTACTCAGTGGATTTAAGTAAGTGTATTTCCTACAGCGAACGTAGCCTGGAGTCTGAACTGTTGTGTTGAGGAACTCCTCCTTCTCTATTCTTTATAGCTTTTGGGGAGTGGGGAGTTTTGTTCTGAAATGAATGCCGTTGTATATTCTTTTACTCCAAGTACTCAGCAACGTTTGACAACTTTGCTCCCGGGAGTTTCCTACTGCTGACTCACCCCATCCGATGGCCCGATGCTGACATCCTGATAAAGTGTGGCAGTCGAGTGGGAAGGTGTCTTCCAACGCCCCCATCTCCTGGTCGGGACCAAGGCTGTGACTGGTTCTTCAACCGGCAGTTGAGGCAACTTATCTATTTGGGTAAGTAAACATAACTAAGCATTTTCAGGACACACGGCCAGAAATCACGTAATCAGAAACAACGTTCACTCTGTATTTTCAGAGTGCGAGCGAACACTTAAGAAGATGACTGGGCTTTATGGTGAAGGGGATGGACTCTATAATCAGACCACCAGGTTTAAATTCTGGTTTAATGGCAATTAAGTGGGGCACTGAACACAGTTTTTCTTTCTAAACCTCTGAGTCCACATCCATCAAATGGAATCATGTTATAGTCTACCTCAAAGGATAAGAAATTAAATACAAAATGTCATTTACAACTTTTCTTTTAGCAGAGTATTGAATCCACAACAAATGCTTAATAGACATTGTTACTTTTTTTTTCTTTTTGGGTCACCCCCTGCGTTGCACCGGGGTTACTCCTGACTCATGCATTCAAAATTACTCCTGGCGGTGCTCAGGGGACCATATGGGATGCTGGGGATCAAACCCGAGTGGGCCCCCTATGCAAGGCAAATGCCCTACCAGCTATGCTATTGCTCCAGCCCAGACATTGTTACTTTTTGTAACACTTAAATAGCATTGTTTTTATAGAAAAATCCACAGTCTGTGTGAACACAAAAATATCGGGTTATAATAACAGATATATGGAATAGCAGAAAGAGAGACTGAAAATCATGGAGTTTATGTGAACTGGGAGAAGAAGTGTTGGCAGGGAACACAAGAAGACCTTGGGAATGAACAGACAATACCTATCTTGTCCGATTGGAAAATCCAGAAGTCTCATGTCACAGAACCAAATGTTCTATTGTGATGATAGACTAACAGCACAGAAGGACTTTCCGACCGTTCTTTGGTATATTTTTGTCTATGTACCACTGGATTCATGAGTCCTCCTTGTGGATGGATTTGATTTATAGGTTTCTTTTGATTTCCTGAAGTTGCCCTCTGTTCCCTTGCTACAATGTGGCAGCATCTGTTGTTTTTCTTGGTGCCCTGGTGTCCATGACTACAAACCTTAGCTTGGTGTGGACTGAGAAGCAGATCTGGTCAACGGATCGGTGGTTTTGTCCTAACTTGGTCTTCAACGGTTCTGGTCAAGTTCAGGGGACTTTATCAAAGGGTAAGTCCGATTGTCCCCTAGGAGTCAAGCGTGGCCCTAAGGAGGCTGAAGGCTGGGTGTTAGCCCTTTTCCCACTCACATCCATTTATCCAAATGGCAGATCTCTGTGGTCTACACTTGAGCCCAGGGCAGTATTAAACTTCAGGAGCAACCGCGAGAGAAGCGTGGAGCTCTCCTGGTATCTTTTTAAAAGCCTATTCCAAATGGAGTGCTGCATGCTTTATTTTCATTGAATTGTACTGTTCGGATTTTATTTCTGATTTGTTCCATCCCTAAATGTAACGTAAAGACTCAGATGGACAGGGATTCCTGGGACTGTCTTACTACTAGAGTCAAATATGTCCATTATGGAAGAGCAAATAGTTGCCATTAACTTTAACTGTGACAATTCACTTGATATATATCCTGAAACAAAATTGTTATTTCAAATATCTCTCTTGTCCATTGGCAACATGTGTTCCTAACTCGAAGCTAATTTAAATACTCACATTAACCAACACAATAAAAATCTTATAACTAAAAACCAAAAAAAATTAAATCATCTAGCTATAGATTTTCTTCCCCTTTGATAGTATTCTGTATTGAATTAGCAGCAAATTATACTATATTTGCATATCATTGTATAAACACACATATATCTAAGTGTATTTCTATGGTCTACATACATACACACATTTATATATTCTATATCATGTTGAATATTCTACAGGAAAGTCTTTTTTAAAAAAAAATTAAAAGCCTGTATCAGTTTTTCCAAAACTCCTTCTATCACAACACCTTAGTATCTTCTCTTTGAAATAAAATTACTTTTAAGAGGAACAGGAAGTCACAGAGAGTTAGAATGTTTAAATAAATGTTTAAAATGTTTAAAATAAATCCGGGGGGACTGGAACAATAGCACAGTCGGTAGGACGTTTGCCTTGCATGTGGCTGACCCGGGTTCGATTCCCAGCATCCTATATGGTCCCCTGAGCACCACCAGGGGTAATTCCTGAGTGCAGAGACAGGAGTAACCCCTGTGCATCGCCGGGTGTGACCCAAAATGCAAAAATTAAATAAAAATAAAAATAAAATAAAATAAACTTGGAAAACTATATTTCTCTAAGAAGATTCCCTATTCTCCAGTAGTGACATCCCAGACATGCGCGCCTCCTCTGCCCTCCAGTGAGCGAGATATGTGAGTGGCTAGAACCATTTTTTTTGTTGTTCTCGCTTCTGAGCTGGCATACTGTAAAGAGGATTCAGGAGAATTCAGGCTTCTTCTGCTCTTCACTGTGGTGCTTCCAACAGTGAGAATTTGGTTATGCATTTGGTTTTCGCTACATAAAGTTTCAAACTGTTCTAGATACGTACGATGTGGCATTGTAATATTAAAATACCTTCATGCCCTAAAACATCGATGCCATTGTCGTTGATACACCGCTAGGACTCTGGAACCTAAGATCCATTTCTCACTGGTACAACTGATGAATTTTGATGAATCAGTTACGTTTTGCATTTCACAAATGGATATTTTATATTTGTTGAATAGCTCCCCCCACCCCTATGTGCTTTTACAAGATCACTTGTATCACACTTGTCATTCAGTTGTTCATCGATTTGCTCGAGTGGGCACCAGTGAGGACTCCATTCATCCCAGCCCTGAGATTTTAGCAGCCTCTCTTTGCTCATCTCTCCTAATGCTGCCATATTGGAGGCTCTTTCAGGGTCAGGGGAATGAGGCCCATTATTGTTACTGTTTTTGGCATATTGAATACACCACGGGTAGCTTGCCAGGCTCTGCCGTGCGGGTGGGATTTTACAGGATAATTCACCTAAAATTCATTTAATCAGAGGAAAGCCTAGGCCAAGCCCTTACTTTCTTGGTGGACATAACGTAGCCTTAGGATGGAAATACAGGAGGAGAACTGGATGTACAGATACATCCTTTCCTTGTCAGGGAACTTCTTGTGTTCCTTCCCATCCACACAATTTCCTGTCGGGTTTTCAAGATGGGATACGTGTGTATGCGGAGAATCCTACTTCTTTTCTGGCTGGCATTTCCGAGAACTGCTTCACTGACAATTAGCTGTGCTTTATTCATTTGTTGACCACTTCTAAGTGGACCATCTTTTTGTATGATCTGCTTTTGCAATACTACCACATCCCTCAGGATAGGAAGTTCTAAAAAAAAATCTACAATTATCTTCATTTCCTCCATTTGGCCCCATCTTGTATGATATAAGATACCTGGTCAATCTGAGACCCAACTGAGAAAGGAAAAGATCAGAACCCAGGCATTCTAGCGCCTTGCCGATGGACATCTCCACTAGGGTGTGCTGCCCACTCAATAATCATTGATCACTGACCAAAAATAAATTGGGGGTCGTGGGCTGAGTTGTGGGAGAAAATGCCTCTGTTCCTTGTGACAACGAAAAAAAACTATGTTACACATCTCATTGTTTTGACTCATGTATCTCTTCTTTATCAAGGGAAGTTTTATCTTTGTTCAGCAAACATCTCTATGAAATTCAGTTTCTTTGGAAAAAAAGTCAGAGCTGGCTGGAGTTTAGGGCTTAGGGTTTTAATCAGTGGCTGGCTGGCTCTTTTACCTGGGGCATGGAATTATAAATGCTGCATGCCTCAATGACTTCACTTATCTAATGAGGTTAAGAATATCTACTTATCTCTTGGAATTATGGAACAAACACCCAAACATCCTCCAGTGTGATTAGCATGCCACGCTACTTTACTCCAAATTCTCTCCATTGATGATTTCTCTCAGGTCTTTCCTTTCCCCCCGAAGATGAACAATCTGCTGTGCCTTGAACTCAGTTATCCTGCCAAGGCATTGCTGAAAGAATCTCCTATTTCCTTGGACTGGATTTCTGGAAGATAGCTGGGATTCACGATCATCTGACATATATGATCCATGGGTCTCGTGATTGAAATGTAACGATGGCACTTAGGCAATTGTGACCCACAGATCAAGACAGCCTCATTCATTTTACAACGTCTTTGAAGAGACTAGTTCAGGTGGCCTTTCTGAAGCGCCTGAGAGTTGCCACCTACAAAGGCCACGGCCATCAGGAGAATCCTTGTCTCCTATCGTTTCTGTAGGGAGGCAGGAAGGTCAGTTTGTTGGATGAATCATCAAGTGCAGCGGTTTTGAACTACAACTTCTCTGCTGTGGGGTTGGGTCTGACTAGCGCTAAGGTTCTCTGGGAGCAAACTTCCATCCTTGTGTTCGAGATGAATTCCTTCAGCCAGTTTCCCACCGTCTCTTTCCTGGGATTGTTTTTTTTTTCTCTCTTATTTTCTCAGAGATGTTTCCATTCATGGTGAACTATTTTTATGTTTTAGTTACATTAACGCTATGAAATAATTAGTCAGCTAATTAATCAGGTTTACAAGCTTTGTCGGATTCTTCAGCTGTCAGTCAGGCCCAGGCCTGAGGCCGGCATCTCATCTCAGCTCTCTTGCCCATGTGATTCCTGTTGCCATGACTACTGGCTACATCTGCTGACACCCCACTCTCCATTTATTGCTTAATTAAGAATTTCACGCTCAGCCCTTATCTGCCTCTAAGAACAAGCGCACACTGTTAAGAAATTCCAAATTTAGTCCCCAGCACAACGAGACCCTTTCTCGAGGGCTTGGCTGGATGGAGCCTCTCTAACGATCTTCTCGGCATCCCAGCCGCCACCCTTCAATCAAAAATCATTAAATGGGGCAGAGATAATGAGCATGCAGTGTATCAAAAGAAGGATGTTAGCTTGGTCCAAAGGAGGAAAAGCTGCTGGGCCCATGCTCAGCTCCACTTCAAAGGGGGATGAGACCCCCTCATCAATGGGGCCTGATAAAGCCTCATTTGTTCTGGGCTTGACTTATGCAAAAGGTCTGGTATGTCGGAGTCCTA